GGTAGATATAATACTAATCTATAGATGTGAATCCATTTGATGATACATCTGTGAGGTTTAAGTTGATTTTAACAGCCCGGGCCAGGTCGGACCGAACATTTCTGACTTGGATTTTTTAAAGAAAATACAGTAAAAATGCTTCACTTTAAGGGCGCAGATTTCTTTAAATGCGATACACCTGGACATTATAAATTGGTGTATAGGTAGATATAACACTAATCTATAGATTTAATCACATTTGAAGATACATCTGTGTGTTTAAAGTTGATTTTGACCGCCCGGGCCAAGTCGGACCCAACACAAGCCAAACACTTCTGATAGAGACTATGTTGAGAATGTAGAGGGGAAAAGGGCTTCACTTTAAGCCCCATGTCTTCTATAAATACTGCGATCTGTGACATTATAAATTGGTGTATAGGTAGATATAACACTAATCTATAGATTTAGTCACATTTGAAGATACATCTGTGTGTTTAAAGTTGATTTTGACCGCCCGGGCCAAGTCGGACCCAACACAAGCCAAACACTTCTGATAGAGACTATGTTGAGAATGTAGAGGGAAAAGGGCTTCACTTTCGAGCCCCTTGTTGTCTATAAATACTGCAATCTGTGACATTATAAAGTGGTGTATAAGTAGATATAATACTAATCTATAGATTTAATCACATTTGAAGATACATCTGTGAGGTTTAAGTTGATTTTAACAGCCCGGGCCAGGTCGGACCGAACATTTCTGACTTGTTTTTTTTTAAAGAAAATACAGTAAAAATGCTTCACTTTAAGGGCGCAGATTTCTTTAAATGCGATACACCTGGACATTATAAATTGGTGTATAGGTAGATATAACACTAATCTATAGATTTAATCACATTTGAAGTTACATCTGTGTGTTTAAAGTTGATTTTGACCGCCCGGGCCAAGTCGGACCCAACACAAGCCAAACACTTCTGATAGAGACTATGTTGAGAATGTAGAGGGAAAAGGGCTTCACTTTCGAGCCCCTTGTTGTCTAAAAATACTGCAATCTGTGACATTATAAAGTGGTGTATAGGTAGATATAATACTAATCTATAGATGTGAATCCATTTGATGATACGTCTGTGAGGTTTAAGTTGATTTTAACAGCCCGTGCCAGGTCGGACCGAACATTTCTGACTTGGATTTTTTAAAGAAAATACAGTAAAAATGCTTCACTTTAAGGGCGCAGATTTCTTTAAATGCGACACACCTGGACATTATAAATTGGTGTATAGGTAGATATAACACTAATCTATAGATTTAATCACATTTGAAGTTACATCTGTGTGTTTAAAGTTGATTTTGACCGCCCGGGCCAAGTCGGACCCAACACAAGCCAAACACTTCTGATAGAGACTATGTTGAGAATGTAGAGGGAAAAGGGCTTCACTTTCGAGCCCCTTGTTGTCTATAAATACTGCAATCTGTGACATTATAAAGTGGTGTATAGGTAGATATAATACTAATCTATAGATGTGAATCCATTTGATGATACATCTGTGAGGTTTAAGTTGATTTTAACAGCCCGGGCCAGGTCGGACCGAACATTTCTGACTTGGATTTTTTAAAGAAAATACAGTAAAAATGCTTCACTTTAAGGGCGCAGATTTCTTTAAATGCGATACACCTGGACATTATAAATTGGTGTATAGGTAGATATAACACTAATCTATAGATTTAATCACATTTGAAGTTACATCTGTGTGTTTAAAGTTGATTTTGACCGCCGGGCCAAGTCGGACCCAACACAAGCCAAACACTTCTGATAGAGACTATGTTGAGAATGTAGAGGGAAAAGGGCTTCACTTTCGAGCCCCTTGTTGTCTATAAATACTGCAATCTGTGACATTATAAAGTGATGTATAGGTAGATATAATACTAATCTATAGATGTGAATCCATTTGATGATACATCTGTGAGGTTTAAGTTGATTTTAACAGCCCGGGCCAGGTCGGACCGAACATTTCTGACTTGGATTTTTTAAAGAAAATACAGTAAAAATGCTTCACTATAAGGGCGCAGATTTCTTTAAATGCGATACACCTGGACATTATAAATTGGTGTATAGGTAGATATAACACTAATCTATAGATTAAGTCACATTTGAAGATACATCTGTGTGTTTAAAGTTGATTTTGACCGCCCGGGCCAAGTCGGACCCAACACAAGCCAAACACTTCTGATAGAGACTATGTTGAGAATGTAGAGGGGAAAAGGGCTTCACTTTAAGCCCCATGTCTTCTATAAATACTGCGATCTGTGACATTATAAATTGGTGTATAGGTAGATATAACACTAATCTATAGATTTAGTCACATTTGAAGATACATCTGTGTGTTTAAAGTTGATTTTGACCGCCCGGGCCAAGTCGGACCCAACACAGGCCAAACACTTCTGATAGAGACTATGTTGAGAATGTAGAGGGAAAAGGGCTTCACTTTCGAGCCCCTTGTTGTCTATAAATACTGCAATCTGTGACATTATAAAGTGGTGTATAAGTAGATATAATACTAATCTATAGATTTAATCACATTTGAAGATACATCTGTGAGGTTTAAGTTGATTTTAACAGCCCGGGCCAGGTCGGACCGAACATTTCTGACTTGTTTTTTTTTAAAGAAAATACAGTAAAAATGCTTCACTTTAAGGGCGCAGATTTCTTTAAATGCGATACACCTGGACATTATAAATTGGTGTATAGGTAGATATAACACTAATCTATAGATTTAATTACATTTGAAGTTACATCTGTGTGTTTAAAGTTGATTTTGACCGCCCGGGCCAAGTCGGACCCAACACAAGCCAAACACTTCTGATAGAGACTATGTTGAGAATGTAGAGGGAAAAGGGCTTCACTTTCGAGCCCCTTGTTGTCTATAAATACTGCAATCTGTGACATTATAAAGTGGTTTATAGGTAGATATAATACTAATCTATAGATGTGAATCCATTTGATGATACATCTGTGAGGTTTAAGTTGATTTTAACAGCCCGGGCCAGGTCGGACCGAACATTTCTGACTTGGATTTTTTAAAGAAAATAAAGTAAAAATGCTTCACTTTAAGGGCGCAGATTTCTTTAAATGCGATACACCTGGACATTATAAATTGGTGTATAGGTAGATATAATACTAATCTATAGATTTAATCACATTTGTAGATACATCTGTGTGTTTAAAGTTGATTTTGACCGCCCGGGCCAAGTCGGACCCAACACAAGCCAAACACTTCTGATAGAGACTATGTTGAGAATGTAGAGGGAAAAGGGCTTCACTTTCGAGCCCCTTGTTGTCTATAAATACTGCAATCTGTGACATTATAAAGATATAACACTAATCTATAGGGGTAATCACATTTGAAGATAAATCTGTCTGTTTAAAGTTGATTTTGCAGCCCGGGCAAAGTCGGAGCGAACTGTGTGACTGTCGAGAGTAGAGGGAGAAGAGGTCTACTTTAACCAACGTGTCTGCTTTAAATACGATGAACAGTGACGTTATAAAGTGGTATTTACTTAGATATAGTACGTTCCTATAATATAAACGCTATGCCGACAGATGGAAATTCGTATGACGATAGCTAGAAGTATTTGATACGTGTCAAATCCTATTTCGTTTAACGATTGCTCTTTTACATGTTACCTAGATCAGCGACGCTAACACACAGCTCCACTTTCTAGTTTTTAAGTGATTTACTCCGAATTACTTAATTATGCTGCACGTTTTGGATTGGTGATTGTTCAGTAGTGTCATGTGTGTATGTTGCATCAATAATATGTAGATATGATCGCCGATAATTAAGTAATTAGCCAATAACACTTTGGCCCGTCTTGGCCCGGCCCGGCCCGACTTTTAGGCAATCCCCCAAAGCTTGCATAACCAGCCTTACAGAAAGGCAGACAACACGTAGGACAGTATTGTGACGGTGTGAGACGTTTCCTCCTACACTTTAAGGTTGCATGGTCTTCCATGGCCAGTTATGATAACAATAAACAATAAATATTGAAAGTTATAAAAACAGAATTTTGCATCTTATATTTGTTTTAAATTGTTTTATTGAAGGGATCATTTTGGGAACACGCTGTCGATCTCTGTGGCTATATATAGGCTGGTGATTCAGAATGTGAAAAGGGGCCATTTTATAATCAAATTGTATTTAAGAAATGAACAACGAGTGGGAAGTGTTTATCGTACAGTTAAACACTGCAGGGAGCATAAACCATACCGATTGTCATATCTTTGGATGCGATCTGTCGGCGAGCTGCATCTTTGTGGAACAACTTGCGAGACACTCCCCACTCAAAAATAACGTCGTCCAATATACGACGTCATCAGTGCATGTTCGAATCTCCAGAAACGTCGTCATGATAGAACAATGCTTCATCGTGAAATGAACCACACCTCGTTCTGCCTTGTTCTTTGCGATGTATCGCGTAGCTATCTTATATATACAAAAATACTATTTTCATGCTTGTCTTTATATCGTGAAGTCTGAAAATCATATTTTAACCCGTTGTGACGCTTTACACCACTTGGCCATCGAGCTTCCGTAAAAAGATGCAATTATGGTTTTAACTTAGCATCTACTATCAGTTTTGAAAATAAAATATCCTATTCCAAACAACCCCAATAATATATCTGAATATTTTGTAACCCTTGAGTGATAACGTTTAATGCTTAATGCGTAAAAAGCGCGATCAGAAAACTGAATTTAACACGCAAAATGATATCTCTTTTATGATTAAATTTATTATTTATGACGCTATCATCACTTCACAATGTGTTCAGAAACCGCATTGAAACCAAAGTTTGTATGTGGCTGTACCCTACATATTACGAAGGACTAATGGTGCCACTTTGGTAGCACGATTTTATTTCATTTTAAATCGAAATTACCCTTTATTTCAAATGTTTTCGCAATTTCTTGTTTTTTTTCTCGTTACTTCGATTAAATTTTCGTTATTTCTATTATTTACTCGAAATTTCAATTTCATTCTCGTTATTTCGATTATTTTCTCGTTATATCGACTATTTTGACATTATTTCAAATTCATTAAAAAAACTCGAAATTTCTATCCTTTTTATTTTCTCGAAATTAGAAAGAAATACTCCAAGTAAAGAGAAAAAATCGAACTGTCGAGACGAAGTAACGAAAAACAATTATACATTCCAAGAAAATAATAGAAGTTACGAGAAAATAACGAGAAAAAATGAAATTTCAGGTTTTTAAAATAAACTAGAAAAAACGAGAAAATAATCAAAACTACGAGAAATTAATCGAAGTAACGAGAAGTAACCATTGGACTTTCGTAATATCTCAAGGGCCATGTCAATGAATGGAGACAACAGCACTCAGGACGTGCGTACGCATTACCTTATCGTTCACAAGTGATTACACACACTTTGCAATATACCAGTCAGGTGTACATAACCAGCGTCTACTATAATTTGAAATGTTCATAATTTACTATGAAAATATATCGAAAAAATATACATGTTTTTGCTAAAATGAATATAACTTGATGTTTGTCCTTATCTCATACACAATTATAAGACATTATGCTTAGTACATGGAATGATTACGGAGTGCATCCTGTACCCAGTGGGAGATGAGACCTTGAGTTCCATCTATCTACTTACAGGCTGAGTCATTGTCATTGCTTACTGAATCTCAAGAGGCTGTTTCTGTTGTAAAGGCAAATGAGCTTCGTGAGATAGCGTTCTGCATCATCGAACCATTCATTAAATAAAGTGAACGTATGGTTCCAGTTGAATGTTACTGAATAAAACAAGTTCAGATGTTGGAATCTACTTGCTGTGGGCACTATCAATAACTGGGTAGATGAGACATCGATGCACCTGGCTACATACTTCATGTTGTACACGTACTCTGTGTCGCAGGAGAGTTGGATGGTAGGTAACTCGTGGTAACGAGTCATCTCACTCATCTTCTATATACAAGTTGGTGTTGCTGATGTATTGCTGTGAATTGTGACGCTGAATCATGGATACTCCATTCTGTAGCTAACTTATATCATGTTCTTTCTGGGGGTATCATATCGAGGACAGTTGTACATGCCATGACAATTAATGAATGGATATGATGAAAGGACTGTTCTATCACCTGTATTAGTTTGATTTATACGTCAGGTCAGTTTATTCGGGATGGTCAGCATATGTGGAATTGTTAAAAGTTCAGACACATAAGCTATGAACACTTAGTCTTAATTATTCAACGCATGCTGTTTGATTATGTAATCCCGTTTACGAAAGTTTGTTTTGCATCACAATTTTGTGTGCTTTTCACCGATTGGATGGACCTGATTGTGCGAGATTCCATTTTGCATAGCAGGTCCTTTCATTTTGAAGTCACTTTCATCAAAGTCCTCCAGCTGTGTGTGATCGGGGGGCAGAAACCCCTTGTTAGTCCCAGCCCTCTTCCTCAGTATCTTGTGACGCCTTATACGCTGGTTACGGGCGGCCAAGTTCATGTGATATGCTGTAAAGTTGGAGGCGATGATAGCCACCGGCATAGCCAAGAGAAGAATGCCAGACAGAGAACAGAGAATCCCAACGATGTAGCCGGGGGGCGAATGGGGATGGTAGTCTCCATACCCGACTGTTGTCATGGTAACGACTGCCCACCATATAGCGATAGGAATATTGTCAAACGTATCAACGCCCATACCAATCTCCACAAAATATATCACTGTTGCGAAAATTACAACCGCTATTGTTAGTCCAACACACAGCAGCAGTAACTGCCCAAAGCTGGCCCTGAATGTAAGAAGAAGGATTTTCATCATTGCATATTGCCTGACGAAATGTAACAGTCTCAGCACGTTTAGGACAAACAGAGCTTTCAGCACATGGTCTGTCAGGCGAAGGTCCTCAGTGTGGCCGAGTAGGTTGCCCCCGTACTCCAGCAGGAACGCCAGCCACATGATGAGGTCCAGGAGGAAGTCTATAATATTCAACCAGTCGCGCACAAACGTTTTCTTTGAAGGGGAAGTTAGAAATCGGGCAATCATGTCGAGACTGAAGAAGGCGAGACACACTATCTCCGTATAGTTGATCCAAAGAGCCGTGTCCGTGGTGAGAATGATGTCCAGTTTCTTGATCGTCTGGTTGTTCTTGGTCAGTTCCGGCAGCCCCACCCGCAGTGACTGGACCGTCCCCAGCATGACAGTCAGCGTGATGACCACTACCATCGTCATTTTCGCGGCGTTCCATGCCTTTTTGGAGAAGAAAGAACACCGGAATGACATAGGTATTACATGATGGGTAGTGTTTTAGTGAAAGTGTGCGCGCGGGGCCGCATGAGCGTTGTTGTGTGGGTACGGAAGGATGTGTAAAGATGTGCTGGTGGGGTGGCTAGTCAGATGGGATTCTGACAGGGTCGGTATTTCATATGCGAGTAGGGTGGGTTAATAGATGGTTTGCCGGCGGGTCCACGTGTGTGATGTTGTGAGGGCTCAGCCGGCTGTGTGATAGTGTGTGGGCCGGACCGGGTGTGTGATGGTGTGTGGGCCGGACCGGATATGTGAAGGTGTGTGGGCCGGACCGGGTGTGTGATGGTGTGTGGGCCGGACCGGGTGTATGGTGGTGTGTGGGCCGGACCGGGTGTGTGATGGTGTGTGGGCCGGACCGGGTGTGTGATGGTGTGTGGGCCGGACCGGGTGTATGATGGTGTGTGGGCCGGAACGGCTGTGTGATGGTGTGTGTGGGCTGGACCGGATGTGTGGTGTTGTGTGGACCGGAACGGCTGTGTGATGGTGTGTTGGCCGGACCGGGTGTGTGATAGTGTGTGGGCCGGACCGGGTGTCTGATGGTGTGTGGGCCGGACCGAGTATATGATGGTGTGTGGGCCGGACCGGGTGTATGATGGTGTGTGGGCCGGACCGGGTGTATGATGGTGTGTGGACCGGAACGGCTGTGTGATGGTGTGTGGGCTGGACCGGATGTGTGATGGTGTGTGGGCCAGAACGGCTGTGTGGTGTTGTGTGCACCAGAACGGATGTGTGGTGTTGTGTGCACCAGAACGGCTGTGTGATGGTGTGTGGGCCGGACCGGGTGTATGATGGTGTGTGGGCCGGACCGGGTGTATGATGGTGTGTGGGCCGGACCGGGTGTATGATGGTCTTTGGACCGGAATGGATGTGTGATGGTGTGCGGGCCGATGGTTTGTAGGAGGTTAAACCCAATCCCCGGCGCAAATCACCCTAGAGTGGCATAACCTAGGCTCAGAGCACTCCACCCTCGTGGACCCCAATCACTCCCCGGGCTCAAATCACTCCCCCTCTACTATTTCAAATGCCCATTGATGATTGTATTACTTGTTTCTATTACTATATCATATACTCATTTTATATTATAAATATTGTGTAACTTTAGGCAGGATCTCATTAAGGGTTATGATTTAGACAATGGCCCGATGAGCATTCTGAGTGTCGGTGCTTGGTGCCTGCAACAGTGTATTATTGGCGAAAATATGTAGTAAATGCTTAATACCATGTTGATAGGATATCTTCAGGATTTTTAATCCTTTCATTCTCTGTGTGTAATCCTTTCACGCTGATGGAATGAAGTCACGCAAGCAGTTCGTACACTCTATGTCAAAGGAGATCAGACTTGGTTAGGATCCGTGTTTATCTGTGACAGCTTCAACCTAGTGACATTTTACTGAACGTGACAATTGATGATGAATTTTGATATTCAGACATTATTATAACTAGTTGTATCTGTTGTTTTCTATCATATGTATGTTTAATGCGGGGAATGGCCTTGTTTTGGATATTGTCTGTTTTGGGAATTGTTTGAATAAAGTTCGAACGCGTGACGAATTAATGTAAATTTGAGTATTTTATATATAAATTGTAGCATCTCTCTGTGTGAGATTTGTACACGGTAACAAGGAATTATTTTTCGTTCACAATATGAACAACCTTGCTTCAAATGAATTTTGTTACTGACATACATTACGTGTTTTATATATGTTGGAATTTTGCAAACTTGCCGCCTCATGAATAAATATTATGAGAAGGTGTGACCAACGGCCAGTGGTGTTTATTCATAATACTGAGAGGCCATACTTTATAGCACATACTATATAGTAATGGGTGTATATAAAATTACTATAAGGTAACATATTTTAATATAATTCTTAGGTTCGTAGCATGAAATATGTACATTGACAGTTTTTTCGTTACTACATTGTGACTTGATATTAACGAAAAACAATTCTTTGAACTAAGGTAACGGATGTACTATTTATTAGTGTAATGTGAGTGCAGCATTCAACGGACATATTAACAAGAAACTGTATTCATTTTTCTACAGTGTCTAATTAAAAAACCGACAAATTCTGTGTTCTCTTAAGAGTTCCATTAAGAGTTCGTGAGAGCTACATCTGAATCTTGCAAGTGCTATTCGAAATGTTACATTAAATAAATATTGCTTTCTTCAGAAACTGTTTTGAGAGAGGGAAAAAAACTTGATGGTTTATTGGATAATGACAGCGAACAATGCCAATTTTACATGTTGATATCATTCAAGGTCTGATTAAAAGCACCTATGAAATGACCTGGAATATCCTTGTCCTGGACCGCCCCCGTGGTCTTGTGGTAGAGCGTCCGCCCGGAGAGCGGAAGGGTCCGGGGTTCGATCCCCGGCCGCGTCATACCAAAAGACGTTAAAAGATGGTACTTGTTGTTACCCTGTCTGGCGCTCGGCATTTAGGGGCTAAAACAAGAACTGGTCGGCTCGGAGTCAGTATATTGTATCTGAGTGGGGTATTCATGTTAAACTGGAACATGGTATCTCAGTGAGCTAGCACTATTAATCGGCATCAGTCCGGACTAGTACAAGCAGCCAAACACAACCACACACACACGTGCATGCACGTCGCTATATAAGTGCAATAAATGTGGACGCGACGTTAAACCCAATTTCACCTGACCTCACCTTGTCCTGGTCTGTCCTGATTACCAAGACTACATGAGTAAAGCTGATGTCTAACAGTTGATGCCCAGTTGGTCTGTCCCTGTTGATCACAGAGTAATTTAGCTTTTTATAACATGTTTTTACAATATAAGGTGTTTATCTTCTTTTGTATGCGCATGACTTCAATGAAACAGATATCAGAAGAAGATGGAAACTACAGATGGGTACACATGACAGAGATGTGTTGATTTTACACTTGTTATGTAAACCTTATTTGTAACGAGCGCTTGTTTTTTCAATAGCAATACATACAGATCCTTTCATGCACACTATTGACTGTCTACAAATGTATGTCGACAATCATCTTCTTTCCTCTCAGGTAAGACGGAGATCAAATAAACATCTGAAAGCTTCATAACTGTATGCCAAAACAGAACAGTGGAAGTGGAATACTTTAAGAATGTTGGGGATTGATTTGAGCCCAAAGGGGAGTGATCTGAGCCCGGAGTGAGTGTTTTGGGAAGGAGGAGAACGAGAGGCTCAAGCACAACAGGGAAATGTTAAGAGATTGTTCGAGGCTGCTGCACCTGACTGGGAGTTTGATTGGGGGAAGAACCTGTTGTGTGATGGAGTGCGAACAGGGTCAGATGTATGCATGAATGCAGGCGGGGGCAAATCTGTGATGTAATCCGTATGTGGTTGGATGTTGGATGGTGTGCGGACGACGGCTACTTGGTGGTCTACGGGAAGGAACGGATCCCTGATTTAGGCTGTGTGATGGTGAAGCTTGACGTGTGCTGGGGTAGGGCTCGTGTCTTTACACCATCACGCACACGACCTTGCATTCACACAATTACTCGGCCCTGCCATCACACCATTCACACCATCACACACACGACCCTGCCTTCACACCAGCACATACACGACCCTGCCTTTACACAATAACACACACGACCCTGCCTTCACACCATCACACACACGACCCTGTCTTCACACCATCACACACGACCCTGTCTTCACACAATCACACAAACGACCCTGTCTTCACACCAATACATAGACCATCACACACGGACCTGCCTTCACACCATCACACACACGACCCTGCCTTTACACCATCACAAACACGACCCTACCTTTACACCATCACAAACACGACCCTGCCTTTAAAACATCACAAACAGGGCCCTGCTTTCACACCATCACACACACGACCCTGTCTTTACACCATCACACACACGACCCTGTCTTCACACTATCACAAACACGACCCCGCCTTCACACCATCACACAAACGACCCTGTCTTCACACCATAACACACACGGCCCTAACTTCATATCAACACACACACGACACTGCTTTCACATCATCACAAACACGGCCCTGCCTTTACACCATCACACACACGACCCTGTCTTCACACAATCACACACACGACCCTGCCTTCACACCATCACACACCCAACCCTGCCTTTACACCATCACACGCACGACCCTGCCTTCACGCCATCAAACACACGGTCCTGTCTTCACACCATCACACACACGACCCTGCCTTTACACCATCACACACACGACCCTGCCTTCACGCCATCAAACACACGACCATGTCTTCACACAATTACACACACGACCCTGCCTTTAAAACATCACAAACACGGCCCTGCCTTCACACCATCAAACACACGGCCCTGCCTTCACACCATCACACACACGACCCTGCCTTTAAAACATCACAAACACGGCCCTGCCTTCACACCATCACACACACGACCCTGTCTTCACACTATCACAAACACGACCCCGCCTTCACACCATCACACAAACGACCCTGTCTTCACACCATAACAAACACGGCCCTAACTTCATATCAACACACACACGACCCTGCCTTTACAACATCGCAAACAGGGCCCTGCCTTCACACCATCACACACACGACCCTGTCTTCACACAATCACACAAACGACCCTGTCTTCACACCAATACATAGACCATCACACACGGACCTGCCTTCACGCCATCAAACACACGGCCCTGCCTTCACACCATCACACACACGACCCTGTCTTTACAACATCACAAACACGGCCCTGCCTTCACACCATCACACACACGACCCTGTCTTCACACTATCACACACACGACCCTGCCTTCACACCATCACACAAACGACCCTGTCTTCACACCATAACACACACGGCCCTACCTTCACATCAACACACACACGACCCTGCCTTCACACCATCACACACACGGCCCTGCCTTCACACCATCACACACACGACCCTG